ATAGTCCATCTAACAGTTAACAAAAGGAGGTTTACATAGCAGGGGAAAGGCATTCAATAAGAAAGTGTAATGAGGATGCCAAATTGATTCATCTGAGCACAGCTTCCCAGGTTAGTCATACTTTTAGTCCACGGCAGGAGCCTCAGAGAGTGAACTGGCACTGTCTCCTCATTGCCTGTTTATTCAGATGATCAGTTGCTGCAAACAAAGGCTAATGCCTTAATTCCTAGAACCAAATAAGACTCAAGGTCATTTTCAATACCTATTAAGGAAAAACTAGGCTAACCGTCATGGGTCAGCACTCAAGGATATTGCTCCTACCACAGTGAGGATGTTTTGAAAAGAAGAGTTAACGTAATCTAGGTGAGAAATGACAAGGACCTAGGCTAAGGTAGTGGCTTTGGAATCCAGGAGGGGCTAGTATGAGAAATGCTGTATCAAAAGAAGTTGCAATCTGACAATTGTTTATAGAAAAGGGGATTAAAGCTCTGGGTTCCTCCCTGGAGCTATTGGAGAGATCTTTGGTGTAATTTGGTGACTACTCTGGCCCACATTGCCTAAAGGTCAGATCTGTTACACTTCATCCCTCCCTCAGGCTTCTCAGGTATCTTGAAGATGGTTTGGGGGCAGGGAGGGAGTTTAGTCTCTCTGCCATTGGCTCAAGTCCTCTACTGATTGCTCCCTTAATTTTAAGGGTGCCCTATACCCCAATGCCATTTAACCACTAAGCAGTCAGACTAGCTTTTACAAAGGAATATTTACTTCAAAGGTATAGCAACAACAAACATTCGCACATTCCCCCCAACCACTTGGAAGTGGAGTGGGCATAATTCTCCCATATACCACCTCAGGCTCTGGAGAGGGCTGGGGAGAACTCAGTTCCTATATAGCACGGCCCCATGAAGTTCCAAGTCCGAAACTCCCATTGGCTCAAGTTCCAGCACCCTGGTTTCTCAGGGCTTCCCCAGTATGCCAACAGAAACATCCAGCCTAGAATCTTGCCTCCAAGGTCACCATAGTTCAGTGCAGGGACCATACTGCCTCTACCTAGAATTGAAAAGGACAAATAAAACAGACCAAAGGAGGTAGCCTTTCCCCCCACCCAAGTTCATGGTGTCCGTGCTGTGATTGAATACCTCTGGGATGCTGCTGGAAAGAGAATGGTACTGTCTCAGTGTGGTAGTTTCAAAGACAGTGGGTAGCTGATGGATAGAGGATGCTCCCACCCATATGGTAGGGGAAATCAGGATGTCTTCTCCCTGAAACAAGTCCTGCTGTCTTCAAATTACATTTGTATTTATTCTCATCACAATTTACTTTCATTTATATATTTTTGTAATCATACAGAGGCAGCTAGGTGGCATAGTGGATAGGGCACTGGGCCTGGAGTCAGGAAGATCTGAGTTCAAATTTGACCACAGACACTTATTAGCTGTATGACCCTGGGCAAGTCATTTAATCTATCTGCTTCTATTTCTTCAACTATAAAATGAGGGTAATAAGAACACTTCCCTTGCAGGGTTACAAGGATCAAATCAGATAATATTTGTAAAGCACTTAGCACAGTCCGGGACATAATAGGTACTACATAAATGCTTATTCTCTTCCTTTCCCCTTTCCCTACTCTGAATACAGATCTGTATGGACCTGTTGGCTTCCCCATTTAAATGCAGATCTTGCAAATAGAGATTATTTCATTCATTGTATATGTATCCCTAGCACCTATTTAGTAAATAGTAAATTATTAGTAAATTAGTAATTAGTAAATTAGTAAATCATTGTTGATTGAGGCAATGGTACTGTTAGTGCCACACGAAGGTCTGGAATCCCTGAATTCGAATCCTGTCTCAGGAACTTACCAGTCGTATAACCTTGGGCAAGTCATTGAACTTCTCACAGCCTCAGTTTCCTCATTTGTAAAATGAGGGGATTGGGCTCAGTGGATTCCAAGATCCCTTCCAGCTCAAAAACTTATTTCCTATAATTCTTGGTTCCCAGATACTTTAGGTCTGTGATTGGTTAAATGGGATAGTGGGCATTGGAAAATTCATCTTTCTTATCTCCGCTCAAGGCCTCTTAACCTGAGGATGCAGAAATGTGTTATCTATAGTCCCAAGAACCAAGGGGCCATAAAGATTCCTCTATTTGTGCCAGGATGGGCATTATCTATGAAGTCATAATTTTTGAAGACAGGGAAAGATCTCAGTGGTTTAGGAAGGTAAAGCAAAATAATAGGGAGTAATAAACTGTATAGCTACAGAGGAATAAACCGCTGGTAGAGATTCAAGAAGCCTAATGGGGTTTTCTTTATCTTTATTTTACTTAATCTTGAAGTTACTTGACCACTGCCAAGAGAATGTCCTTGAGGACTTTCTTAAGTAGACGATAAAAAGCATAGGCTTCTTATCGTAGATCAAGGGTTTTAGAGCTTTTCCTTGGGAGCCTGTGGATGAATATGGGTCTCAGAGAATAGTTTTCTATAAGGGTGAAAAGCCCTTTTAATTGTAAAAAAAGAATACTAAAATTAAGAGCAAGAGGGTCTCATTTCCACACAGATATGTATAAATGTGCTTAAGCATGTATATATCTTCTAGCAAGCAATGTTAGTTCATTTGTATTCACAAAGGAAAGAGAGCATTTGCAATTAGCAGAAATTCTAAATAACAAACATCCTTTTATACTTTATAGCAAGGTTCTTAATGAAGGGTCCACGGATCCCAGGGTTTGTGGATAGATTTCACTGGGCCCATAAACTTGGATAGGGAAAAAATTTTACATCTTTATTGTCACTAACCTCTAACTGAAATTGACTATTTCCTTCAATTATGAATGTAGGCAACAAACCATTATTCCCAGAAGCAGTTTATAGGCTTCCCCCACGACTGCCAAAGAGTCCATGACACAAAAATAGATGAAGAAGCCCTGCTTTGGAGGAAGGGTTAGAACTACAAACCAGACATTATTGAATGCATTGTAGCAGTCACAATCCACCTGGCTCTAGCACAAGGCTCTTGCCATGACTTGTGATTGGCACAGATGAGACAGAGGTCAACAAGCTCGGGCAAACCACAATATTTAATTTATTGAAAACATAACCAACTTTGCTTTTGGTAATGGCCGAGTTCCACATTTGGTTATTTCAAAGCTGTCAGGGAATTCTGAAGAGAGTTTTAGGAGACTGGTAGGAAAGGAGAGATGCTAAGTGATGCTAAGAGATGTTAGGATAAGACTGTTATGGTGAAGGGCATTCTCATCCTCCCAGTCCCTGAATTTCTCACTATTTCTTACCCCTCCCTTCCCCATATCCAATCTATTGCCCAGGTCTGTCAATTTCACCTCTGCAATATCTTTGGAATTAGCTCCCCTTCTCTCTTCTGACACTGCCACTGCTCTGGGGTAGAGCCTCGTCCCTTTGTGCCTGGACTGTTGCCTGATGGTGGGTCTGCCTGCCTCAAGTCCCCTCCCACTCCCATCCATACTTCATGCAGCTACTGAAGTGCTTTTCCTAAAGCACAAGTCCAACTACATCACCTCCCTATTCATTTAACTACAGTGGCTCTCTATCATCTCCAGTATCAAATACAAAATACCCTGCTTGGTGCTCCAAGCACTTCATCACCTAACCCCCTCCTACCTTTCCAGCAACACTGGTTAGCTTGCTGTTCCATGAATGAGACACTACAATTCTCAACTAAGGGCATTTTCTCTGGCTATCCCTTATGCCTGGAATGTCCTTTCTTCCTCATCTCTGCCTACTGACTTCCCTGGTTTCCTTCCTTTAAGTCCCAATTAAAATCCTATCTTTTACAAAAAGCCTTTCCCAATCACTCTTAATTCTAGTACCTTCCCTTGGCTAATTATTTTCTCTTTATCCTATATATAGTTTGTATGTATTTGTTTGGTTTTGGTCTCCCCCATCAGATTGAGAACTCTGTGAGGTCAGGGACTATCTTTTGCCTCTTTTTGTATTCCCGGCACTTAGGCACCATGTGCCTGGCACATAGTAGGTGCTTAATAAATGTTTATTGATTGGTTGATTGATTGACTTAAGGAGAACAGGGTACAAAATGGGAAGTGCTGAGGAGGTCACAAGAAAATTGTTCCTTTTTCTTATTCTGCCCAATATACATACAAAAAAATCTTCAGGAACTGTTTTTCTCCCTTTTATCTTCTGCCTCCAGTATCAAGTAATAGAGAAAATAGACTCAGAGTAAAGACAATTCTAATTGATTGTGACAAAGAAATGTGGCTACTGGGCAAGGAGGTCACATGATTTTATAAGCCTAAAGCAGAGAAAGCATGCATAATGAAAAAAGAACTGACCTCAGAGTCAAGAAGACCTGAGTTCAAGACCCAACTCTGACACAAATTGGCTGTGTGACCTTCGGCAAGTCACTTAACTTCTTAGTGTCCTTAGAAAACTCCAAGGCTTCAAGTCACAGAAAATTGTAACCTACCTGCGTGTTACGACTACTGGAGTCTTTCTGCCTTTATATAACATAGGGAGGCAGAGGTGATCATCACTATTCCACGTAACATGATGAGGATGGATCCGCATGAAATTCAGAGTCTAATTTCATCACATACACACACACACACACACACACACACACACAAGTAAAATTAGAATGTTTATCTAACCTATCTAACAGTAAAGCATAGTACCAATACAGTGCCCCCCAACCCCACCTCCAAAAACTTACAACTCATAGCTTAGAAGAAAGAGTTTCTTCACCAGAGTTCACTTTACCAACAAAATCATAAGTCTGGACCAAAAAAAAAAAATCGTAGGGGGAGGGAAGTATGGGAGGACTCTGGGGAAACTACAAGGTTGCTGACCATGGACATGGTCAATGCAATTAAATCCTGTTAATATTAAGTTATGTTTGGCTCAGGGTCTCTTCTATCATCTTCTGTGGTCAAGATGTAGGTAATGAATCCCATGATGCAAACAGTCAGAGAGATCAGTATTGATGAGTGACATTGATTGTCTCCCTCAGGCTTCTCCGAGTGACTGAATCTATCAGGAGGGAAATCAGACCCTAACTGATATGTGCAGAGCTGTGACCTGGGCTCATGGGGGCTTCTTCCATCCTATGGTCTCTCTGTCAATGAGAATGAGCAGCATTGGAATAGACAGGAATGACATTCTGGCCAACAAAGAAGCCTATGATCACAGGGTCCACTGATGGGTAAGTATCCAGTCAGTGGCTGATTGAAGAGTGTAACCAGGGCACTGAGACTGTCATCACTAATCTTCCATAGAAAGAATGTGAGTGTGGTTAGCTGCTTGAGGAAAATGGGGACCTGGACTGGAATTCATGATTCTAGAAGGAAACATCAGGAAGGACATGAGGGACTGAACAAAGGGATGAACCCATCAAGAATTTCTCCTTGTTTGCCTATAGATTCATCTTTACTATCACACGGTATCTTGTCCAGGATGGGGCTTGTGTGGAGGTGAACAGCTATGATCGAAACATGTGTCAAGCTGGGGCAGCTCTGAAGGGAGAAGAACTGAGAGTGACTGTCACCATCTGTCATGTGGAGAAGGTGAATGACGGCGGTAGACTAGTAGCTAAAGTGAGCGGTCATACCTTGGCTCTGGCTCCCCTAGATTCAGTATAAGTTTTAAAATGCAAAAGATTCACTTGCATATAATATTTCATAAATCTTCTGGGAGATCAGAGAGGAGGACTACAGAAGGAAAATTTAGATAATGTAGAAATAAAAGATATTAATAGAATGTATTTTTTAAATATTTCATGTGTCTATCACAAATTCAGCTTGTACCACCACTCTGGAATTCCAGAGAACTCTCCAAATATAATTCAACTCATTTTCCCATGAAGATTTTTATCTCTGTCCCAGTTCCATATGACTCAAAAGGAAAACCTACTCACATTATAGATTACATTTATTTTTTTGTGAGAAATAGAAAGATGATAAAGCACAAAATTAAGCCCCCCAGACACTGCTTGATACTTTTTTAAGGGATCATCCATCTGCAAGCCTAGCAGCAGCTGCCTCATTAATAGCCGAGTTCACACATTTGCTCTTTCCAAATAAATCAGGAGTAACACCATCTGGAATCCTTCCAATGGAATTGATGCTCCCATAACCTGGAGACAAAGGAGAACTGCTATCTTCCTCCTATCAATGCCATAGACATAAGAAGGCAGAGATAGACATTCTCTTCATGGATAGCAGCCCCATTCTATTGTGCTTATAGCTCAAGATTCCAGGATGTTTGTCAAATTGACTTTGGAGCCCTTTGGGATCACATAACTCTGGACATGGGCACCCTATTCTGCTTTTCCTCTAGCCGTACTCAAGGATGTCTAGCTCATTCCCCCACCATTTTTGGTGGTCACAGTTCTGACCCTCATAGATGTGAGAGAGAGAGATAGGGAGTCAACTCTCACTCAACTCTCACCAAAGTGATCCCATCTCACGATATGCTGTATGGCAGTAAGATCTGCCTATCTTTCAGCAGCCTCATATAGTTCTCCCCATAAGCATTTCTCTGGCAGTCCTAGTTGTATGGTCCATCCCTTTTTCAAAATGCCACATTAAATATGTTTTGCATGATTACACATGTATAACCCATATCAAATTGCTTACCATCTCAGGTCGGGGATGAGAAGAGGGAGGGATGGGATTTAGAACTCAAAATTTTAAAAAATGAATGCTAAAAATTATTTTTATGTATAATTGGGAAAAAATAAAATATTATTTAAAAAAATAATAAAGCACTCCATTATAGGCTGGCTACATTTTATAATGTCCCACCATTGTTCTAACCTTGGATATTGTCTTTCTGAGCTTTTGCAGACCTGAGAAAAATTACAGAAATGCAAAGAAAGTCAATCCTCATAGCAAGGGTTACAATTGTGATATATTCGAGTTGTTTTATCACAAAATAAATGTCCATGTCCCATTGCAAACAGAATTTTCTGGTGTTCAAAATATAAGCGTTTATGTAAAGCTTTAAAGGTTGTATGTGGAAGTGATTATATACTCAAAAAGAAAAGCAAGCTGTACATAAGAGATTCACAATTTCATATACCACCTTCTTTTTTGTTCTATGGTACATGTGGAAAGGCCTACTTTAGTTGCTGTTTGTTAATATGTATTTTTAAAAGACAGAAAAAAGAAAAATAAATAAAAACAAAAATATACATTTGTAAAAGGTAACATTAAAAGATGTCTCTCATTTTGCACTGCCTGCATTTTGTATCCTAGACAGCTGCCTGCTTTCCCTAACCGTAGGCCCAGCTCTGCTCATGACTGAGGCTATTGCCAAGGGTTTATTTTTAAGCATCAGTCTGAAGGGGTAGATGGAGAAGCCAGGAGACTGATCCAGATAAAGAGTTCTAGGCATATGAGACCAGAAGAATGTATCTTTACAGAAAGGAGAGAGAGCTTGGAACAGACATAGTAAGGAGACAGGCTTTGCTTGGATAGGTGGAAATAAGAGGGGTAAGAGAAATTATGCTACTGGAATTAGAGTGACCAGCATAGGTTATGGCTGTATATTGAGGCTCTAATTCCTTCTGTATTTTCCCCAAAATGCATGTCAGTGGAGACAACACCTCACCTCATAGAACTTATCAAGAATGAAATAAATGGGTCACCCAATGTTTAAGCCAATAGAATTCTAAGTCTGCTCCAAGTATAATTAAATAACAATGAAAATAAAATTAATAATAACAGTTCACATTTGTTTGGAGCTTTTAGGGGTGTTTGGGAAGCATAAGAAAGGAATTCTCCTTAATGGACAACAGATCCTGGGGATCATACCAAGAGAGCCCTTGCCTATCACTGACCTCTGTCCCCTGACTTTCATCCAGTCCATGCAGCATTGTAGATGTGTTGACTTCCTGATTTTTGTTATTGAGTTTCATACCCTAGTGGAAAGCATTCTGGGACCAGGTGAAACTTGAATAGTTAAATTTAGTATTGGAATCACCCGTCATTATGGCCCTTCCCTCTACTTCTATTCCCATACACAGATGATATTCCAGCTTCTTCTCAACAATTTTCCATATTTACTGACTCTTGTGGCTGGTTACATATACCTCTCTTAATACCAGGAGGAAATTGCCTGCTGTTCCAGCCTTTTCTTAACCTTTTTCTCCATTCACAAACTTGGGCACAGCCCTGGGACCAGGCCTTTTAGAGACACACCAAGAGTCTTGGGAAGTTTATTCCTTCTATCTCCTGGCTTGGAGTTTCTCTGATATCACAGATCAGTCAGTTATTGGAATGTGTTTTCTCTCCCCCAAAGTCCTCAGTACCACCTCAATCTGACCAGCCCAGGAATCCACCCTTACTTAAGTCTTTGCAAGAGAAATCTCACTCTTTTTCTAACCAATCTAACTTCTCAGTTCCAGAAAGGATGTTATCCTCAGACCCTAGCATCCTAGCCCTATCCATGAGCTGTAGGGTACATATCTTGCTGGTCTTTCTACCTTCCCCATCCCCCCTCCCCATCTTGAGCACAGTGACTAAGGAGCCCTTTAACCTAAGTTAAAGGAACTGAGAATTCCCCAATTGATAAATGGTCAAAAGATATGAAGGCAGTTTTCAGATGAAGAAACCAAAACAATTTATATATAAAAAATGCTCTAAATCACTATTGATTAGAGCAATGCAAATTAAAATCTACCAAAATGGACATGCTGATAAACTATTCTGGAAACCAGAAGACCAGAAAATAGGCCCTTTCTTCATCGTCCAGATAATATTTCTCCTAGTCTAATAGCATAGAATATACCCTTCTCACTATGCATCCACTATGTACTCATCCAATTCTTGTTGTAATGAGTTCACCTCAACTCTTATTTGTACAAAAATATTTACAGCATGATTATGTATCTTATTTATCTTTCTTATAATAGAAAAACTGGAAACAAAACAGGCATCCAATTATTAGGGAACTGCTTAACAAAATTACAGTATGTGAATGTAATACAATATTATTGTCCCATAAGAAATTATGAATAAGAAAAGGACAAATAAATACAGAAAGACATATGAAGTATTTGGAATAAACAACACTAAAACACTCAAATGGATCTATAATCTCATTTATTTTGAAATTCTCTCCAGCAGTCAAATCGCAACTTATTCGTGCCTGCCCATCTTGTGCAACACTTAATAGTTAACATTTATATAGTGCTTTAAGATTTTCAAGGAACTTTACAAATATCTCATTTTTATCTTCACAAGAAACCTGGAAGGTAGGAACTATTATTATCTCCATTTTACATATGAGAATACTGAGGCAGACAGAGGTTAAGTGACTTGCCTAGGTTTACACAGCTAGTAAGTTGTTGAGGCAGGATTCAAACTCAGGTCTTCTTAACTCCAAGTCTAGCTCTTTATACACAGTACCACCTACTTTCCTCCAGGTAGCACGGTCCATATCTTGTTCATATCTTCCACTATATTCTCCATAATAAGTTTACCCAATCTGATGGAGAGCTTTCTTGCTTTTTCCTGACATTGCGTAGGTATAAATGGAGTACTCTAGTAATCCATTTGTCATCCATCACCCTCACCATAGGACCAATCCATCTCTTTCTTGATAGCTTCTTTTCTCTCTATTTTCTGAAGTTCCTCAGTGGTTATATATTATATAGCCTACTTACTCCCACCATACGTAAGCATTTCTGTTGTCTTTCATTTGCTCTCCCTGTGACATTCATTTTTAGTCCTTCAGAGGCAGTTGTGTGCCACGTACCACTGCCATAAAGCAATACAAGTAGAATGTTGGAATTTAAAAGATGAGCCTTTGCTTTTGTGGGCTTGGGATCATTACAGGAGCTCTGCAATTTCCCAGACAATACAGCCCACTCTTCTCCCCTTATTCATCTCTGGGTCTGACTCATTGTCCATTTGTACAGCCTGTCTCAAATACAAATGTTGATGGGCAAATTGTGTAGATTATACATCTAAATGTGCATTATAGGTACAATAGACATTCTTCATCTATTTGATCTTTCCTGTGTGAAAGGTCAAGCCAGACTGCTTTGAAGGGCTGCAAATCTCTTCCAGGAGGCTCTGCAATGTCATCAGTACAATTCTCTCAGCAAAAAGAAACATCTTGAGGACTTCACCATCCACAGGGATTCTCTAATCAACTTTGACTCTTTGCTGGATCTCCTCAATCACAGTAACTAGTATCTTTGGCAAGTGTTCAGTCAGCCCCTTGTTTTATGTTTCACCTGATGTTTGTGATCAGAAGTTCCTTGAACAAAGTTTTTTTTTTCCTGTTATTATATCTTTCAAGGAGGCTTAAATGATTTTGTTGTGAAGATAGAAGGCCATTTAGTGAAAAATAGATTATAAGGTGGCATTTTGCTCTATAGAATCAAATGCCTTTTCATAATCAACAAACAATAAGCACAATGAGATTTTATGTTCTCCAAAACTTTAAGTTAACTGTGAAATGGCAAATATGTGGTCCACTATTGAATACCACTTTCAAAGGTCCCCTTTTTTCCCTACTAATATATTCCTTTAAAATGTCTTTAATTCAATAAAGATTTTGTAGATATGTTAGAAAAGGCATGTAGGTTGATAGTGTTTGACGTTTCTCAAATGTCTTTTTTTTTTTTTTGCTAAAAGGTCCAAGACTTCTTGCATTACTTTGGTATCTTCTCCTTCTTCTGATACCTTTTATATCAATCCCTCAATGCTCTCATAATTGTGTTGCCTCCAGCCCAGATCTCCTTTGCCATACTAGGTTCAAGCTGTTCACTTTTCCAACTTTATTTTTTAAGCACTATTTCTACTGCAATGCCAAGGTTGTGAGGCTAAGATCTAAGTGTGGTGATCCCACTGTCCTTGATAGAGAAAATTGTTATGATAAATTTGGTAAGTCTTTTCCATGTTTCTTTTGTTTGTTCTCCTTCCATTTTTGCCCTTAAATTGCCCTTGGGATGACTTTGATTAGTTGAATGTCACCAAGCTTTTTTGAAACTGGTTTTTCCTTCCAATGATTCTCTCTGTTTTCTGAGATGATGTTGTTCATAATCATCCTTGGTCCTTCCTTAATGGCAAATCCAACTCTCTTTCTCTGTATCATGCTGCCTCCCTGGGCCTCAGGTTCTTCATGTATAACATGAGAGTGTTAAGCTAGTTGCCCAGGGTCATACAGCTACTAAACATCAAGTGTTTGGTCGAGGCCGGATTTGAACTCAGGTCCTCCAGACTTCAGGGCCAGATCTCTATCCACTGTGCCACCAAGCTGCCCCTGTCAACTACTCTCAATCCATCCAAATAACTCCTTTCAAGGAGCTGCCCCTACTTTCAATGTGAAGACATTTTCAAAAGAAAGGCTCACGTTAGCTACTAGCTTACAAAAGGGTTTTGGGAAAGATTATTTACCCCTTCATGATTCCCAGACTTGCCATTTGGTCTCTAGGTCACATGTGCTATTCCATATGTTTTCTCCCAAAATAAATGTGGATTAAATAGTGACCTTTAGAAACTAGGTTGGATATGATCAAATGTCAGTATGGATTTTTGAGAAGGCTAGATTTCTAAGAGATGATACAGTGCCAGGAAGAATTCTTAGCTAAATTAGAAATTTAAAAGGCCTTTAAAATATGTATCTATAGATGTTCATGTATTCTCAATAACCTTTTTGGGTAATAATACTGCCTGTGATTTTCTTTTCTTTTCTTTTTGTATCTCCCCCTGCTTGAACTATATTATATATATACACATACATATACATACATTTTATATATACACATATACACACATACAAACTGTATCTATATATATGTAAAATCCCTGAGCACTTTTGAAATAATGTTTCCTCTTCTATAGCTATGGCTGGAGAATTTGGCTAGGCCATTTGCCACACCTGAAGTGTCATTTCTATCTCCTTACGTAGCACAAATGCACTAGTTGCACTGTTATCAACGGTGAGAACTGACACATGTAGAAGCACCTTCAAATCTGTACCATTTTATGCCTATTTGTTGTCCAGCTTCCAGCTTCAATAAATGCTCTTGAGAAAATGTAATTTAGCTGAATCTCTTGATGACATTTTTATTGTCTTGTTTTCCCCTCTAGTGTTTCATTATTTAATAATGTCATTATATTGCTTGTAATCTTCTAACAGC